CCCCCGGGGCAGGTGGCCCCACCCGGTGGGCCCCCGGGACCCTTCCGGTGGTCCCGGTACAATACCGATGACCCCGAAACTTGTCCCGATGGCTGAAACAGGACTTCCTATATATAAATCTTTACCTCCGGACCATTCCGGAACTCCTCGTGACGTCCGGGATCTCATTCGGGACTCCGAACAACATTCGGTAACCACATACAAACTTCCTTTATAACCCTAGCGTCATCGAACCTTAAGTGTGTAGACCCTACGGGTTCGGGAGACATGCAGACATGACCGAGATGTTCTCTGGTCAATAACCAACAGCGGGATCTGGATACCCATGTTGGCTCCCACATGTTCCACGATGATCTCATCGGATGAACCACGATGTCAAGGACTCAATCAATCCCGTATACAATTCCCTTTGTCTAGCGGTATGGTACTTGCCCGAGATTCGATCGTCGGTATACCGATACCTTGTTCAATCTCGTTACCGGCAAGTCTCTTTACTCGTTCCGTAACACATCATCCCGTGATCAACCCCTTGGTCACATTGTGCACATTATGATGATGTCCTACCGAGTGGGCCCAGAGATACCTCTCCGTTTACACGGAGTGACAAAATCCCAATCTCGATTCGTGCCAACCCAACAGACACTTTCAGAGATACTCGTAGTGTACCTTTATAGCCACCCAGTTACGTTGTGACATTTGGCACACCCAAAGCACTCCTACGGTATCCGGGAGTTGCACAATCTCATGGTCTAAGGAAATGATACTTGACATTAGAAAAGCTTTAGCATACGAACTACATGATCTTGTGCTAGGCTTAGGATTGGGTCTTGTCCATCACATCATTCTCCTAATGATGTGATCCCGTTATCAACGACATCCAATGTCCATGGTCAGGAAACCGTAACCATCTATTGATTAACGAGCTAGTCAACTAGAGGCTTACTAGGGACATGGTGTTGTCTATGTATCCACACATGTATCTGAGTTTCCTATCAATACAATTCTAGCATGGATAATAAACGATTATCATGAACAAGGAAATATAATAATAATCAATTTATTATTGCCTCTAGGGCATATTTCCAACAATTACCAGAGTAACAAGTGCATCATTTATTACAGCGTATGATCCAGAATTTATAAAGTAAAACAATCTGCTTAGCCCATAGCTAGCTTTATTCAATCAAATGGCGGAAAAGTAGTAGAAAATAATGATGAGTCCCATCACAGCCCACTGGTGATGCTGAGTGCAGACTCCCGACCCTAACGGTACCTTACTCTTTGTCTGAATATCCTGCAACATGAGACGTTGCAGCCGTATAGGTCAATACATTGAATGTATTGGCAACTTACACTGGAGTAATAATAAAGCATACATACATGTATGCACCTACTATGTGTTACGATCTGCAGACCCCAAGGTGACAACTGTTGGGATTCACTCCGATGATGACTGTAGTATGAGTTCATGTATTCACTATCTGCTAATGCTTAATATCCCTTAGATTTCCTTATGAACCTTGCTGCCACGGGAGGGTAGCACAAAAGATATCATGCAAATTCTTATTATAAGCACGTATGACTATATACAAAATACATGCCAATATTACATTGATGAATTGGAACTCTTGTGTATCACTCTAGATTGTGACTGTTATATGATGAATATCAACCAACACAAATATTCATCCCTGATCCAATGCCTACACTTTTCTCATATTAATCTTTGCTAAGTTACCATTGTTGTTGTTACAATCACTACAAACTATTCCTCTTGCTATTGCTACTATTACTACTACCAACAAAACTATCAAACTATTGTGCTACTAAACACTTTGCTATAGAGATATTATTTTCCAGGTGTGGTTGAATTGACAACTCAACTGCTAAGACTCATAAATATTCTCTGGCTCCCTTGTGTCAAATCAATAAATTAGGATGAAATACTACCCTCAAAGACTGTTGTGATCCCCTATACTTATGGGTTATCACGGGTGCGGCGGAGCGCAATTCGGACGGCCATCACCCACTTGTGCCCGACTGGGATGAGATCCCAGTTCACAGATTGGGTGAGGGAGGACTCCGATCCGCTGCCCAACTCAATAAATTTTTACACCCCGGAATCACCTTTGTTCGCATGGAATGCAGAATCCACCCCATGGTAAATTGTTGTCTTAGAGCAACTTTACTGTACTGATGTCGTAAAATACACTGAATAGATCTCGTAAAATAGCATATCCCGAAAAAGAAAATGCAGGTCACCACATATTATCATACATATACCCTATATATGCAGTTTTTGAGGCCGATTTTGAGGTGAACCATAAACGAGTCAACGCCGGAGCAGGCGCTTCAGAGCTTGGCAGCGGCGGCAGGAGCATCGCCAGAGCAGGTGGAAGAGCTCGGCAGCGGCCGCCGAAGCATCATGGGAGTAGGCGAAGAAGCTCGGCAGCGGCCGCCAGAGCGTCACCGGAGTAGGCGGACAGCCGGAGCGTTGCCGGTGCAGGCGGAGGAGCCTAGTAGCGGCCGCCGGAGCGTCGCCGGAGTAGGCGGACTGCACGAGCCTTGCCGGATAATTTAAGAGAAACTTATTGTACAGTTTTGTAGTACATGTTCTATCAAAATCAATTTGGTACCTTTTCTTCGATTAAAATTTTGATCTATTCATCAATTGTCAAGGTAGTACAAAAAACACCAGAAGTAAAATACATCCAAATACGTAGACCACCTAACAACGACTACAAGCACTGGAGTGAGCTGAAGGCGCGCCGCTGTCATCACCCCTCCCTCATCGGAGTCGGGCAAACATTGTTGTAGTAGATAGTCGTGAAGTTGTCGTGCTAAGGCCCCATAGGACCAGTGCACCAGAACAGCAACCGCCGTTGATGAAGAGAAAATTTAATCGGAATGATCCAACCTGCAGATACACATACGTAGACGAATGATGACTGAATCAAGACGGATCCACAATAGACAAAAGCCGACCGGATCCCACGAGATCCACCGGAAACACACCTCCACACCCCTTCCGACAACACTAGAAGCATCGTTAGAACGGGGCTAGCCGGGGAGGACCTTATTCCATCTTCATAAGTCGTCGTCGCCTCGTCTTCTTGAGCATGACACAAACCCTAACAAAACTCAAAAAGACACCTAAAATGAAGCCCTCCGGCCGGCAAAGGCTAAGATCCACCGCACCTCCATGGTCTAAGGACCATACGACACTAGGCGGATGGGCGGCGGTGCCGGCGAGAGGCAGGAAAACTCGAGATGAGAGTTTTCACAAGGGAGCAAAGGGGTATCAGCCAATTTGCTACCGCAAAAATAGTTTACGGTGACTCGTAAATTGATTTTACAGTACCGTGATATACAACATCTACTCTCTTATGCGCTATTTAATTTCTAGATGCTTTTTGTGATATTTTAAACTCCCTTTTCGTTTGTAGGTGGTCAACTTATCACCCCAAGTTTGTATGCAATAAATTTCTATATAGTCGCGATGTGTACAGGAAGCTCCGCGTTGCAACGCTCTATGTGGTGGCCCGTAGACATGTGGGGGCCATTATTTAGGGAAGCATCAGGATTTGGAGACTAATCTATGCAAAAAAAAAAAAGATTTGGAGACTAATCCAAGCAAGAGGGATGATCGTCAGTCAGATTAATATGCTCTGTATCAACTCGAATAAGTGTCTGATCTATGAACGTAGTGTCGTTATATGTTTGTGTTTTTCCTGATTGTATTAAAAAAACGTTGTGTTGTTATGTGGTTGCTTATTATTCGAGCTTCGGTCCGTATCGACCGTTATGGCGCTTTTTGCTGCGTCTGTATTTGAGTGTGTTGTGTTGAATAGTTCACGACACTTTCCATGCAGCCCGTCTCCTCCTCCTCCTTCAAGAAACGCTAGGGTTTGTGCCTTTCGTCAGCTCCGTTGCAGGTCTGCCTCGTCTTCGGTGGCCTTAGGGCCATGGGGCGCGGTGGATTCTGGCAAGGTCCGGCGGGAGGCTCCGTTGTTAGTCGTTCTTTTGAGATTTGTTAGGGTCTGTGCCCTGCTCAGCAAGGCGAGCGGCGGCGGCTCCCTAAAGATAGAATAAAAGTCTCCCCGCCTAGTCCCCGTTCCGGTGGTGCATGAAGCATCCATGGGGCGTGTGGAGGTGTATTTCCGGTGGATCTATCCTCGGTGGATTTGCTCGGATCTGGTTGTGGTTCGTCTATGTTCATGTGTCTTCAGGTTGGATTCTTTCGATCTACGTTATTTCTCATCGATGACGGTTGTTGTTCTTGTGCGCTGGTCCTATGAAGTCTTAGCATGACGACTTCCCGGATGTCTACTACAAGTTATGCCCGACTCCGGCGAGGGAAGGGTGATGACGGCGGCACGCCTTTAACTCGTTTTAGTGTTTGTAGTCGTCGCTAGTTGACATATGGATCTGGATGTATTTTATTATTATTATTTTTGGTGTTCATTATACTGCCATGATTGAAATCGCTGCCGTTGTCACCTCTGTCTACCACGACCCTTCTCTTCGTCATGGCCAGCCTCCCGCTCAACCGTCATCTGTGTCACCATGACAGCCGAAGGAATTCGCAGCCCATGGGACCATGCGATGGCCTGTTGACCACTCGACCCAACACTAGCCCTAAGGTCACACCGTCACACACACTATCAAGAGCACGTCAAAAGACGCCACTGCACCTATCTCAAAAAAAAAAACGCCACTGCACTGACAGTCGCCCGCTGAGGCACAACCTGGGGTTAGTGCTGAGCAAAAATCGCTATCGGTCTGTTAAGCAAACCCGCGTGGCAATACCCCAAATTACAAAATAGAGCTAACTGCAAGTAAAATCCACCTTTCTCAATGTTACACATGATAAGTTCGAGCAAGCGTGCTGTCAAATCTCAAATTATTCAATGATGCGATCATTCCTTGACCCACCCCAAAACTATAGCGACAAAATTGGCTACAGCAATTTTGGCTTCAGAGAGCACAGTGTTTTTTTTTTACTTGTCAACGACTTCGATGAGGGTCGTCTCGTAATCAGCAGGGGCCTGGAAGCCGTGGAGGTTCATCACGGTGGCAGCGACGTTGGCGAGCCCGGGTGTCTGGATGTCGGAGCGGAATCTCACTCCTGGGTGGAGACCAGGGCCTCCGATAGCAACAGGGACCTGCAAAGTTTTACAGGCAGGTCAAAACCAAGTGATAAATGTTGTCACGTAAAATTGGTCTTGCAGGAAGAGCATCAAAGGCCATTGCACTTACTGGCTGAAGCGTATGCGAGGTAAGAATCTGGATGCTACCACTCTTGTCAAGCATCGGCTCGCCAGCTTTGTTCCTCTTAACCATATCCTCTGCGTTTCCATGATCAGCTGTGACAAGATAGATACCACCAACTTGCTCCACAGCATCCAAGACCATCTGTTTTAAAGGGAAACCAATGATACAGATAAGTAAAAGGCAAATGAGGTAGAACCATCATTCGGTGAAACTGCGTGTCCCAGAACACAAGTGTTTCAGAGAATTTGTCACTGAAACTGTGCTAACATGTGTAATTTCAAGTAAATTCACCATTTCAACTTTCAGGATATAGATAATGAAAACAAAACATTGACAGCATAAAACGCAGTTTCTTGTTTGTTCTCACCTTGACAGCTTCATCAGCAGCCTTGCAAGCAACAACTGTGGCTTCAATATCACCAGTGTGACCAACCATGTCACCGTTTGGCAGGTTAATACGCACCTACAAGCATATAATATGTTATGTAAATTTATGGGGGCAAACCAAGGATGTCACCTGTTACACCTTTCCGAATTCCTTACCTGGTCAAACTTCCCACTGAGGATAGCATCCCGAGTTTTCTCAGCAATTTCAAGTGCCTTCATTTTGGGCTGCTCATTGAATGTGATACCACTGTCACTGGGAATTTCTACATACTCTTCCCTGGTCTCGTCAAAGTATCCCGAACGGTTTCCATTCCAGAAAAATGTGACATGGCCAAACTTAACTGTCTCACTGTTATGAACAAATAAAAAGAAATCATAAATACAAATGTGCAGAAACATAGGATCAATTTCTAAGCACAGAACAAACTTTAGACCTCAAAACAACTGAAATAACGGTTTGCAAAAATAATGATTCCCTCGCAATTATAAGAATAGGGGAATCATCAGGTCAATAAACGCTGAATGGCCTTTCAGAAAAAAAGTATTCAGATGTAGATAATTTCAATTACTGCCACTGTAGTTAAGCTTTGCCCCCAGACAACTATACTAATAGGTTCCAGAAAGTACAACAAACCAATGAAATTAATTTTCTGCTTTGGTGATTTGACATATGATTGGCAACAAATATAAAGCTTAGGGCAAAATACAATAAGCATCTGACTTGCGTATTCACATTTTACCCAGTACTTGACCCATATTTGTTTTCAATGGGAGTATGCTAACCTGACATAAAGTAATGTTCCACGTAATCAAGCACCCGAATCATGACTAACTAATGACCAGGAATTATAGTATAGAGATGAACGTGAAGAACCAAGTGTCTTAGCATTGGAACAAATAGAATGGAAAACTAGGTACTTGCCTGCAAGCGAAGGTGCGGACACCATTCTTCACCAAGTATTCACCAGATGTCCTCTCAATCAAAGGTGGGGAAACAAGGTACTTGCTTGGAAGCTTCAACTCACCATCATACTGAAGCATCCCAGCGTACTTAATTTTTGGTACACGAACACGGTCAAATTTATCGAAATCAGGAAACTCAAGTGCTTTCGCAAGCATAACCATGCGATCAGCTCTGAAATTGAAAGTCACGACTGCATCACCGTCTACTATAGGACCAACCGATTTGCCACTCTCATCAACTATCACAAAGGGGGGCAAATACTGATCATTGGCCTTGGGCTCTGCCCTTAGAGTCTTCACAGCTTCAAGTGCATTTGGGAATTTGTATGGTGCTTCTCCAAGTACCTGGGCATCCCACCCACGCTTGACCACACTCCAGTCATTCTGCAATGTATCAAAAAACATGACTTGAATTTCACCAGGAAAATGTATTTTTCCAACTATAAAATATAACACAAAATTGCACCTTACAAAACTAAACAATAAAATGAGAGTATATACCTCGTAGCGGTCCATGGTAACATACATCCTTCCACCACCAGATGCAATCCGTGCATCAACACCCTGCTCACGAAGCTGAGCAAGATCTTTCTCAATTGTCTCTACGAAACCAACACTACTGCCATCCAAAACATCACGTCCATCAGTAAGAATGTGAAGGCGAATTCTTTTTGCTCCCCTCTCACTGGCACCTTTCACAATCAACTGAAAATAAAGTGAAACAAAACAGAGCAATTTTAATATTTGACAAATCATCACAAGACAACAAGGTCTGGCGTCCATCACAATGATTGCTTAGCTAACCTGCACTTGGTCTAGCCGGGAGTGAACGCCTCCATCACTCAACAAACCAATAAGGTGCAGAGTACCCTTATCAAAAGATTCCTTGATGTAATTGAACCCCTCGTCTTCCCAAATCTTCCCGGAAGCAAGAGCAGCATCAACAAGCTTCGCGCTATAGAAATTAAGTATATAATTTAATTTAATTAGCTTTGTTGAAAACAATCTGAAATGGCTAATTGTTATAGCATACAAAAGTGAAAATGTGAAAGCAGCATACAAGTGAAAAAGAATATAGTGTGACAATAGTAATTGATAAAGTCTAGCACATGGTTATGCAAACGACTCAAACAGTTAGACAGCAAAGTATGTAACATAACCAAAGCAAAAAACTAAAAGCATCCACAAGACATGGTTCCTACAGAGTTACTAAAATAATTGATGGCGATGCAAAACTAGAAGACCATATTGATACTATCAAGAATCCCGTTGAAGTCAGAACTGTATCAGAACTTGTAACAAAAAATTGCACTGATCGGTACTAACAGCAAAGAATACATATTTCAAAGGGGAAAAAACAGCATACCCTTGAGCAAAGATTCGGCCAGCTCCAAGAGCATTGTGGCCAACTTCACTGTTGCCCATGTCGTCGTCACTTGGGAGACCAACGGCAGTTCCATGAGCCTTCACTAGCCTCCACTTCTCAGGAGCACCCTAAAACAGAGTTAAGCTTAGTTATTGCACATCTCAAGCAAAGTTATGCGGTAAAAATTTAGCATGCAAAAAACTACAGTACATCCAAATTAGTTCAGGTTGGATGCAACATATGAATTACAGTAGTAATGTAAACAAACATTGTAGCGAAAATTACACGAGTGTGCACTAGTTACGATTGCACAATATTGACTGTTTTTTTATGGTAAAGGGTCCAACATTCGCATCAGATTCATCATCATGCTCAAACCAAAGCAACAACTGCAATCAGGATGCTTCATCTACAGCAGAAGTATGTGACTGAATCACATTAAATCCGACAAAAGGATGCAGGCAATCATAATAATCATATTAAACAGACGAAGGTAAAACGATACAGGTGCGGGTAACCTACATTCTTGAGCGAATCCGTGACGGGCGTCTGGGCGACATGGATGCAGTTGTACTGGTCGGGGCTGGCCTCGCCCCATCCGTCGAGCACGACGACGGCCACCGTCTTCCCCTTGGGGAGCGTGGGGTGGTCGGGGAGCGTCCAATTCGTGGTCGCCATCTCTTGCAAAATCAATCAAGCAAAAAATCAGGTCACGTGCAGCGAATCCAAGCAGATCTGCGCTACAGAGTGGCAAGCATACGGCGTCATTAATTAACCCGCGCTAAATCACCAGATCGCGACGCGCATCTCAATCGAAATCGATTCCATTAGCAGGAATCAAAGCGCCAAGAGCACGAATTAAAGCGTAACAACCCCCCTATAACTAATCAAACGACAACCACCGTATTTTTCTTCTTCTAAAATTCAGATTCGGTGAACAAGGCCTGACCGGCCAGATCTGCCGATTGATCGGAGGAAACCAGACAAGAAATTTGGACGAGATTTCGAACGGGGGAGGGGCGTCGTTGAGATCGAGAGAGGCCGTTCTCACCTTTGCTTTTTTTCTTCGTGTGGTTTGCGGAACAAGAAGAACTTTTCGGAGAGCGGAGTGGCGGAGGATAATGGGCCAAGGCGGGGCGGCCGCGGTATTAATAAGGGGGAGGGATGGGCCACGGAGCCGTGGGGTGCGATTAATTTTAGGGTGTTGGCCAAGAAGATCGTCGGACGGCCCGATCGGCTCTAGGGGGGTCGAGTCGGGCCATCGGACGGCTGAAGGGACGTTACCGTGTCTTCGCCTGATTTTTTTCTTTTTTGAGTTGTCTTGGCCTGATTTGGTAGATGGGATCCGGCAGTTTTATATTGCGGCCCCTGGTATTGGACGGCCCTGATGGGGCCGCCTGTCGCGGAGACATGTGGCTGTCACGCCGTCACGAGTCCTCGGCTCTCGACGTCAGATCGCAGGCCTCCTCTCTCTTCCTTTGAAAACTCGGGCGTGACGGCGTGCGTGAGCGTGAGCGCGAGGCCGTGAGTTGGATATTCTTTTCGGATGCCGTTTTCAAAATCGAATTCCCATGCTGTTTTATAAATGTTTTAAATTTCGTAATTTTTTCTGGGGGAAAGGAGAACCGGGTTCTTTCTCGCTAATAGCCGACCACCTGTCCGATCCCTTGAAAGGACCACCCGGTTTTTTTTAGACAAAAAAGGACCACCCGGTTGTGGTGGTACGTACATGCAAGCTTTCTCCGTGACAGTGCGGCGTGGAAAACAGCGTGGTACGGGACAAGTTTTTTAACCTAACCATAGGGCTGAAGGACATGCTGGGTGCGGGTGCGGGTGCGGGACGGAAAGAAGCGTGGCTGGCCGTGGGCGGCGGAAATTAGGCAGTCGGGGTTGGCCGGCCGCCGGGGGTCAAGAAAGGACTCGCGTCGTTCTCGCGCGCATGGGTTGGTCGCTGCGGAAGAACAAAACAGTCGGTCGCTCTTGCGGCCCCGGCGTCCTGGGGGCCGGAAAACCCAGCGACGACCCGTCGATGCGCCCAAAGGCTGGACTCCCTCGCTTTCCCACGTCACCTGTAGGCTGTAGGTCCTCTTGTGCCGCTGTACGTTTTCGCGAACAGGAACCAGCAACAGGGGAGAACATCCGGACTTGTGGTGGTGCCACGGATGCACCGAACTCATGTTGCACATTTAAAAAATATACTAGTAAAAATAGCACGTTCATGCAACATCAATATAAGATGTCATAAAATTTTAAGTTGAAGTCAAAATTTGAAACATAGCTCAATGAAAAAAAAATCTAACACTGAATAGTATATAAAAATAAGTTGGGTTTTAAATTTGGCCATTATCGCAATGATATCAAATTTGTCATTTTTGTTTCTCAAAAATTTATCAAATTTGGATATGAAAATTTATGGAAACATGCATTGATGTTGTGTCAATGTGTTAGTTTTTTAAACATTTTTTAAAATGTCCTACGATATCTGGTGCACCGGTAGCACCACAAGCGTGGGTGCACCGGAGACATCCCGAGCAGTAGGCCTGAACTATCAGCCACGTCCATTCTTCACCTTCTGGACTGGGCCAATTCGTCACGAAAGAGACGAGTTTGTTTTTACACTAATGCAATAGACTAGTAGACTGGGTTAAGCTCGGTCGGGGGCTTTCATGGGCAAAACTTGATACTACTCATCCGGAACTCCTATTCAGCGCATACAGCGCTTGGAAAGCTCCCTGGCTGTCACATCCAATTGCAGGGTTAAATTTTTTTGAGAGCCGTGCTCGCAGTTATGTGGCGATTTGAAAATTTATTATATCTAGTTGTAGAGAATTTGACACCAGATTCGAGTTAAAATACACCAACCGCGTGTGTAACCGTGACCGTCTTTTTTCGAGGGAGTTCCGAAAGAGAACACAGTGGTGTTATGCTTGACTCGTAAGTAGTTCAGGATCACTTCTTGATCATTAATAGTTTGTGACTGTTATGCTATACTCGTAAGTTAGCCACCATACAATGATTAGTGCTTGATGCAACCTCATCACTTAACCATTACATGCTTGTCGGTGTTAAAACCGGCGGATCTCGGGTAGGGGGTCCCGAACTGTGCGTCTAGGCGGATGGTAAGAGGAGACAAGGGACACGATGTTTTTACCCAGGTTCGGGCCCTCTCGATGGAGGTAAAACCCTACTCCTGCTTGATGGATATTGATGATATGGGTAGTACAAGAGTGGATCTACCACGATATCAAGGAGGCTAAACCCTAGAAGCTAGCCTATGGTATGATTGTTTTTCGTCCTATGGACTAAAACCCTCCGGTTTATATAGACACCGGAGAGGGCTAGGGTTAAGACAGTGGATACGTAGTACACTGGTTTTTGAAAAGGGAATTTGTGTCCTTCTGTTTCTCGTTCGACGACGAGCACTGCGCTTACAACTTGATGTGTTGCCGCGATATATAATAACATTGGTTCGCCCAAGTTGGGCGCGGCCAGGACCGGATTTGTTGCTAATATGGCCTTTATTTCTTCGAGTCCGGCCGTGGCAGCATCCGTCCATTCGAAGTGTTCGGTGCGCCGGAGGAGGCGATAAAGGGGCAATGCCTTTTCTCCCAAGCGGGAGATGAAGCGGCTTAGAGCCGCCACGCATCCAGTCAATTTTTGTATTTGTTTGAGGTCTTTTGGGATATCCAACTGTGACAAAGCTCGGATCTTGGTTGGGTTTGCTTCAATTCCTCTACATGATACAATGAAGCCCAAGAGCTTTCCGGCTGGTACGCCGAAAACGCATTTTTCCGGGTTGAGCTTAATGTCATATGCTCGGAGGTTGTCGAATGTGAGCCTCAAATCGTCTACTAGAGTTTCGACGTGTTTGGTCTTGACGACCACATCGTCTACGTATGCTTCCACTATCTTGCCGATCTGGGTTGCCAGACATGTCTGAATCATGCGTTGATATGTTGCGCCGGCGTTCTTGAGCCCGAAGGGCATTGTGTTGAAGCAGAATGGTCCATATGGAGTAATGAATGCCGTTATGGCTTGGTCTGTCTCCGCCATCTTGATTTGATGGTATCTGGAGTATGCGTCGAGGAAGCACAATGAATCGTGCCCTGCGGTAGCATCTATGATTTGATCGATGCGGGGAAGGGGGAAAGGATCCTTTGGACAAGCCTTGTTAAGGTCTTTAAAATCGACACACAGGCGCCAGGATTTGTCCTTTTTTGGTACCATTACCAGGTTCGCTAGCCAGTCCGGATGTTTTATGTCTCTGATGAATCCGGCTTCTAATAGTTTGGCTAGCTCCTCTCCCATTGCCTGTCTTTTGGGTTCAGAAAATCACCGAAGAGCCTGTTTGACTGGCTTGAATCCTTTTAGGATGTTTAGGCTGTGCTCTGCCAGCCTGCGTGGGATTCCTGGCATATCTGAAGGGTGCCAGGCAAAGATGTCCCAATTTTCCCGAAGGAATTCTCGTAGTGCGGCGTCTACATCAGGGTTTAATTGTGCCCCAATGGAGGCCGTCTTTGTGAGGTCCGTTGGATGGACTTGGAATTTGACTATTTCATCCACTGGTTTAAAAGAGGTGGACTTGGATCTCTTATCGAGTATCACGTTGTCCCTGTTCACCGTGGAGCGCAGCGCAGTGAGTTCCTCTGCCGCTAGGGCTTCGGATAGTGCCTCTAGGGCTAGTGCGGCTGTCTTGTTTTCGGCGCAGAGCGCTATGTCCGGATCACTGACAAGAGTGATGATTCCATTGGGCCCGGGCATTTTAAGCTTCATGTACCCGTAATGGGGTATAGCTTGAAAAATTATGAATGTCGCTCGCCCTAATAAAGCGTGATATCCGCTGCTGAACGGGGCCACTTGGAACGTGACCTCCTCGGACCTGTAATTGTCCGGCGAGCCGAACACTACATCTAGTGTAATTTTTCCTGTGCAGCGTGCTTCCTGACTAGGGATTATTCCTCTAAAGGTTGTGCTGCTTCGCTCAATACGGCTCCAGTCTATTTCCATTTTTTGAAGGGTTTCCTTGTAGATGAGGTTTAATCCGCTGCCGCCATCCATGAGTACCTTGGTAAGACGAAAGCCGTCCACTATTGGACTGAGGACCAATGCGGCTAGTGCTCGGGCTGTTCAGAATTTAGGTTCGTCGCTGGCATTGAAGGTGATAGCCGTGTCGCTCCATGGATTTGTTGTTGCTACTTGATAGACTTCGGCAAGGCTGCGGATTGTTCGTTTCCGCATATTATTTGATGCGGAAGTCTCGAAGATTGTTAATACCGTACTGGTACTATTGGGCTGGTTCTCCGGGGCTAGAAGCTCTTCGCCACTTTTGGCCACCTGCCGTAGTATCCAACATGCTCGAAGGCTATGTGTTGGAGTGGCGTCCTCTGTACTATGGATTTTACAGGGTCCGCTGAGCCATCCCTCCAGTACGGTTCTGTGCCCTTTAGGGGGTTTTTGCTTTTTGGTTTTTGTCCCAGGTGCCTGAGCATGATGCACCCTTTTATTTCGGACTAGGGTTGTGTTCGGAGCCGGATTGTCCCAAAACTTAGTTTCGGTTTTCCAGGCACTCTCCATTGCACAGTACTTTCATACTATGGACGCCAGGTCGGCGAAGCGTGTGATTTCGCGACGACTTATGGCGTTCATGATTCCCTTGTCCGTGCAATTATTGCTGAAAA